TTTCGTACCACCCACCACCCTCCTCCTCCCCCCTCCCCCCCTCCCTCCTCCTCCTCCTCCTCCTCCTCCTCCACCACCACCACCACCACCTCCTCCTCCTCCTCCTCCTCCTCCTCCTCCTCCTCCTCACAATGTGCTTATTGGACCATGTCGTCTTATGCTCCCCATTCCCGTACATGGCACCAGAGAAGTTCTCGTAGTCTTGGTACCTTCAAGCAGGACGGTCAGCCTCCGAGATCCAACAGCTGCACAGGAGGAGGAGGAGGGCGTCTCACCTCAGGGTCCTGTCTGAGCCCGAGAGGACGGAGTATGCCTAACAGGATGAGGAAGAGCATGCACACAGTCAGCTACAGTCTTAAGCCCTCCAACCTCCTCTCCTCGCCTCTTCCCATCCTCTCTCTCCCCACCACCACTACCACGTCTCCTGCTCTAGCTCAATCCTCCTCGAGGTACATGTTGGATACGCTTGAACTCAGCTTCCGCCTTCGTGTGCGTCTCTGTCCCAGCCGCTCCATGAAGGTCTGACGCGCAGTGCAGCTGTCAAGATGGAGAGCAAGCAGGGAGGAGGAAGGGGCGAAGAGGATAACCTGGATGCCATTTTCTTGCAAGATCCAGCCATGCATTCTTGATGTCTGCTGAGGTGGATCCTCTAGGGAGGCCAAGGATCTGAACGAAACAATCAACGACTTTAGATTCACTTGGAGCATCCCAAGAATGGCTGACTTCAACTACCAATGGCCATGAAACTGACAACAAAACTGTACTACATCAATATCTACCTATCAGGATCATTTTCACGATCATATACTGATGGTTTGACCCCCCGTACATGTCCGGTGTTACTTCAATATCCTTGCAAGACAACAGATGCTACTACATCGACTTGTTCCACTCCAACTCTCAATGTACCACTTCCTCTTCCTCGGCAGGGCTTCATGCTCTTACTCACCACGTGAGGGTCCTCGTCTCCTCCCATGACGCTCCTCCCGCTCATCCTCCGGCTCCCAAGCATCACCACCCTCCAGCAGCGCATTTTCGCTAAAGATCTTGTAAAAGGCCTGAATGAAGGGGTGGGGGTCCAAATCATCACTTTGAGTACCCACCCTTTTGTATGGATAATCCTCATAAAATACCCGGCACGTGAAGGGTGTGCGTAATAAAGCGGAAAAAGGAAACAGGGGGTCGGGAGATTTGTCGAACCCGTCATTAGTCCAGGAAAAGGAGTGGTGGGGGTATATACCCCCCACCCACATCATCTAGCTCCCATTCAAGGGTTTTACATCGGAGTGCCCTGGGACTTATCTTCACCGGTATGTTGGTAGCAGAAAATAGGGGTGGGGGTCAGGTAAGCATTTATAAGCAAACTACTAGGCTACGAGTCCGTACGGTCCGATCAGGCCCGGATCACTGTCCGTCCGATCAGGATGATCGGGTGGTCCGATCCGGCCCGGCGCCGGGCGCGGCTGACTGACTGATGCCGCCGATGCGGCACTCAGGGGCTAGTCACCGTGGGCGGCCCGGCGGCCCGGCCCGCGCCGCTACTAGTCCGCCGTCGAATGGTCGCGGCTGCGTCGGACGAGTCACTCTGCGGCTCGGCGGAGGCGGCCGCCGACGGTGCCAGCCTCCGCCCGCCGCTGGACCGCGTGACGAGTCAGCCGCTCGGCTAGTAAGGCGAGTTACCGTCGGGCCGCCGTACTACTAGTGACACTGTGACTCAGTAGTGTGAGGCTTCACTGCGGCGGCCCGGGCTAGCCGGCCCCCGGCCCGGCGCGGCCGGGCCCCGGACCGTACCGGCGACGGCCCCCAAGGCCTCTCCCAACTTAAAATAACAAAGTACCCACCATATCAAGATAACGATTTTGCAGTCAAAACATGGGTAGGGGGTCATTGATGGGGTATAGTATGTCTAATGAGGTGATGGGGGTGGTGAATCTGAGGAGAAGGGAGGGGTATGATGTCGGTTTGATGGAAGGGGTGGGATACTGGAGTGGGGGAAAAGAATACTGAGGGTAGGGGTACGACAGCCTTGAGGTGGGTACTTTCAAGTACCCTGCTAAAATTCTTCCACAAGACGGGTACACTTGTACTCTATCTTACGACCGGTGGAAGAAAATATGGACCGGGTAGCGACCACTACCCCAAATCTGATCAGTACCCTACCCCATTTTGTGATTGGGCACAGCTGTAACTACCCCTATATACTGGTTGAAGGGTACCCTACCTAGAGATCAACATCACCAGCACCCCTTACATTCCCCAGCACAAAAGACTTTGTCGGATAGGGTGGAAAGGTACCCCACCCATGTCGCATGGTGATGTACGTTACCCCTTGCATCATCTGTTTCGAAACAATTTACCTCAAATGGTGGGGTACTTGAAAAGAGAAGTGTAGGGAAAAATGATGGGATATAAGGGGGTGGGTTATACTACCCACATGTGTTCGTGAATACCCCTATCGAAGTTCAACCTCCACCCCTACCTCCTCTCCCTTGGTTGACCACCCACCCTTGAATTTTCTGCTGTTTTCCTCCAGTCTGGGGGAACAAAGCGAAATTCATGGAGGCCAAGAGAGTAGACAAGGGCGAAGAAGATGAAAAAATGCAGAGGAAATCGAGCGAGATGGCTGTGGGAGGATACTTTATCTTCCTGTTTACCAGTTATACCATCTTCAAACTTGAATGGCATTCAGTTGATCAACATCGAGAGCTGAGAAACCTTGGACGATTAGTCAGGGGCAACGAATTTTTGCGATCGCGGAAGAAGTTTGCAAAGATGAGAGGAGATAGACTATGAAACTATGGAGCTTAATCGAGCTTGTATCCAGAGGGTGAGATGGCAAGAGAGACATAGTTGAGACCTCACAGTGAGAAAGTAGAATTTATAGCGAAATCCAGATTTTACGCTTGTCCAAAGTCCCGATAGTAGGCAGTACTTTCCCCATGATTTGAAATTTATGTGGAGCACCTGGAATTTTCAGCATCATTGATGTTGACTTTCGTTTCCTAACAGGACATCATCGCACGGAAACTGTGTTGTTGATCAGGAATAAGTTGCAGCAGTCCAATCGGGCTGAGTCACAAGCTTTGGGGAGTGATGCCTGAGATCGATTCGAAACAGGATGTGCAAGCAGGTGACGAGGATCATGCAGAAGGCGATGATCACCCGGTGATTGAAGGGAAGGCTCAAAAAGATGCCGGGGGCAAAGTAGTCGAGGGCAAGGACGTTGAGGATGAAGACAGTGAGGGTTTCAACGACCAAGAGCATGCGGCGACCAATGACGACTCTCCGAATTCCAATGTTGATACGCATGAGATGGAGACAAGATCGGTAGATTCCAACAAGCAGCTGGACTCCCAAGACGGCAGCCTACATGAACAGAAGTCTTGGGAAGAGGAAGGCCAAGGAGAAAATTCGACACTCGAGGAAGATGGCAAGGTCGAGGAAGAAGCTAGAGAAAGCGAAGCCGAAAATGCAGATGACAGTGATCGTCAGAATGATCATGATCATGGCGATGAAAAGGAGGAGGGACAGGAGAAGGAGGAGGAGGAGGAGGAGGAGGAGGAGGAGGAGGAGGAGGAGGATGAGGAGGAGAAAAGAGAAGAATCTGAAAGAAGGGAGACTGCTGACGCAGAGGTGAAGGAAGGCAATGAAGAAAACGATGAACAAACTGAAGGGGTCGAGAAGACTGAGGTAGAGGAACTCCGTGACGAGACTGCGCCTCCTGATGCTCAAGCAACAACCGATTCCGGGGAAGAGGAAGTGAAGGCTGATGAAGGGGTTCATGACAAGGGAGGAGATGAAAAAGATGTCAAAAGCGGGAACGAAGAGACAGAGACTGACACTGAGACAGCTACAGTAACAGCCACAACTGAAGAGGCTGAAGTTGACCACGATCATGAGAATCAAAAGGATGTTCAAGAAATCAAACAGACAACTCCCGAGCAAGGTGCGGCCGAAACCAATCAAGCAAGTGCGAAGATTCCACAGAAAGCACGATCGAGTTGGGGGGGATCGTTGTTTGGATGGAGGAGCAAAGAGCCAAAGGGTGATACTCAAGATAAGAGCAAGGCGACTGCAAGATTGTCCATGTCCATGACGACGAAGCCAGATTCGCACATGACGAGTGAAGTGTGCAAACTTCTTCTCAAGGACCTAGAGACGCTGGAAACGAACACCCCAAGGAGTCAATACAGATATCGTGAGCTCTTGAAGAGCGCAGAGAGGTGAAGTTTGAGGCATGCGATAAGAATCTCTTTGATGAGCCTCAGATGTGTATGAGCATCCGTTGTGAAATGTGTCTGTTCTATCGCTCATTTCGTATGTGACTTTGATTTAGGATCATCCGCGACATTGATGAGGAGCACCATGATCAAGACAGCCTGACGAAGTCGATCAGATCGAGTGATGCAATCCTCAAGATCGCTCTCCAGGTGAGACACGGGTTAAGTGTAAATTCGCAAAGCAAATCTTTTAGTTTTGCTGTTTTGTTTGGATGCCACGGGGTGTATCGAAACGTCCGAGCAACTCTCATGTTTCTGAACTTGCATTCTCTCATGTTTCTGAACTTGCATTCTCTCATGTTTCTGAACTTGCATTCTCTCATGTTTCTGAACTTGCTTTCTCTCATGTTTCTGAACTTGCATTCTGTACAGGCCTCTGAGAGCAAGACTGCAAACTTGTCTCGCATGGGACTCTCAATGCTTCAACGCCTTGCGGCCTGCGATGGGATCGATCCGGTAAGCCAGATAATTTCCGAGGTCGTTCAACCCTAATACAGGATCCAGGACGAGTTTGTGAAGGCTTCAAATGTGTTCAGACTAGCCGTTGACAGCACAGACGAAGCATTTCAACTTCGAATCGTCCAGGTGCTGTCGTGAGACCGGGCAGTGACCGCTACAGTTGTAGTGATGTCTCTGTTTCTTCAGTTGTGCAGCACGTCACTGCAGTCGCCAAGAATATGCTTCCATGTACGTTTTCCAACTGCCCCCTTGCTACGTATTCTCCCAAAGACAGATGAATGAGCAAGTTGAGAAGGGATGCAATGGAGCTATGGATGAGAGCGATACCTAGATGTACAATTTAAGGAAACCAGAACCAAGTAGCAAGATAGAATTTTGATCTAGAGGGCGGAACATATTCATTACTCCTTCTGACACGTCTGTGCAAACAGGAGAAAGCGATGCTTCTTTGCATTGAGACTCTTTTGTCATTGCATGGAAGCCGCTACACTCACGCCGCACAGGTCCACAGAGCTTGCAAGTATGCGTTGCAGACTGATCTCTCCCATCCTTTCGACTGCAGATTGCAAATTTGTCCATCAAGTCGTCACTGGAAGGATTCTTTGACCTTCTCTCAAAGTTGTACGAAGGAGAATGCAGGGAGGCCATCATCGTCATGCAAGAGCTCGCCAAGAAGAGTACCGAAGCTGAGCCTGCAGATCTTGAGAGCCACGTGACGATGATCGGATCGCATCTCTTCCGAGAGTTCTCATCCATTATCAAGCTGGAGACGAGCAAGAAGCTTCAGTTTCGCCCCCACTTCTCAGTATGTCCCATGATCCTCGGGATTCTGGACGACATTCTCCGTGCTGAGAGCAAGATATTTCACAAGTATGACCTGTGATGAACACGAATGGATGCCGTGAAGTTGAGACGATGCATGCCATGATGAAATGATGTGGAGTTGAGAGTGATGTGGAGTTGAAAATGATCGACGCTGTGCTTCGTTCTCTCGTGTTGTCTGTGCGATGACATTCTTACTTTTGGGAAGGTCGAAATCATTCCTCAACATCCTGAACGATCAGATTTGTTCGGTCCTTGTTTATCAGCTGCAAAGAGTCGCTGAGGCTGGAACCCGAGCTTTCGTCATGAAAGATTCGAAACAGGCTGTCTCTGCACAAGACATCAACATTGCTGTGAGATCGCTCCATACCAACTTGTCTTTGCGCTGATCATGTCTGGAAGATTGTGAGGCTGTTGCGATGTTGCTCGGCAGTGATCAGCTACTATTCTGCTCCCAACAGGTCTGCTGAATGCGAAGGGAGGTGTGAGGGTTGACAACTTTTTGCAGTGATGACGACTGCAACGACGATTGCGAATCCAACCTGTTGTCTTGTGTGGCAAACATGATCTCTCTCTTTGTGCACATGGCACAGGTGACGGCGCCTCTCTCTCTCCCTTCTCATCGTTGATGCGAGATTGTCGTGGTGTTGTTACTGTCGATCTCATGGATGGTTCTTGACCCGTATGCATCCTCTCACTACCTCTTGCCAATCGAATCTTTGTAGTGCGAAACAGTTCTTGCAATCTTGGTCTCCTTCGTTGTGCTGAAAATGCCTGATTCCATGCTCCAGGAGGCCAAGCCGTCATGGCTGAAACTTGCTGCTCTTGAATGTCTACACGAATATACAACATCCGACGAACTTCCGACCAGACTGAAAAAGATTCACATCGTTAGCAGCGAACTCAATCAGTCAAGCGATGCAGAGAACGTGATTGACATGGAGATGGATGCGTTTGCTGCGATAGTTTCAAACTATCTCGACCCTCCTCATCCAAAAGGTCTGCCATTAGACTTTACCCTTGGCTCTGTGTGTTGCAGATGTTGTATTGCTGTGTGGATATCGTTGATTTCGTTGCTTGTTTGGCAAGACTCATGTCATGAGAAATTGAGTTGATCATCAGTACAATGATTCATGCGATAGAGCCACGTGCCGAGAAAATTTGCTTGGACAGGATCTGATTGAAGCTGCAGAGACAAAGAATACACGATCAAGCAAGCAGATGGTCGCTGCCCAACGAGAGCTGCCTGTGAAGAACTTCTTGTCCATCACTGAAGATGAGAAGATGTCATGGAAGAGAATCATCGACACCGTTTCTGTGAGCCCTCTTTGCAATCTTTGCCCGTCTGCTACAGCAGATCCTTGATATTTCTTTATCCAGGGCGAAGAACCAGTTTTACCTCCTGATTGGGACACGATCGCGTTCGAGCTTGCCATAATCTGCTCCTCGAACCTGTCATGCGCGATGAATGAGATGTGCAACCTTCAACGACCTATCTCTACTTCTTCCTTGAGCAGCTTCGAGGATTACCCATCGTATACTGTGACAGACACAAAACCAGATGAAGAGAGCGCATCGTCCAAGGTGACGGGCTTGCTGTTGTAGTTGTCATGCTGCTGACTCGTTCCAGGTGTGCAACCACATGATCGACAGTTGGACCATCTCACTGATGGGATTGACTCGCCTTTGCATGCAACACATCGAGAATGACAGGCTCTTGCAACTCGTCCTGAGGTCCCTCTGCTCCTACATGCAAGCGAGCAACGAGCTCAGGCAGTTCCACTCTAGAGACCTTGCGTTGAGGTACAATCTTGGGCTGTTGGTGAAGAACGACCTGACGCCCCTTGAAGCATCATCTGCAAAGCTGTCGGTGCTCCAGCTCCAGACTCCACAACACAACTGCCTGCACGCCCTCGCCTGCTCATCCTGGACTCGATCATCCGCATGGTAGGAGCGTGTGAGAGAAGCGTGGGGATGACAAGTACGAAAGGTGTTCGATTTGGGCGAAGACATGCAGCACTCTTGGAAGATTCTCTTTCCTGTCTTGCAGTATTGGACTGCAAACATTGCAAGTAAGGACTTGTTGTCAACGATCCAGATTGCCCTCTCACGCTTCCACAGACTTCGGGTTGCAGACGAAGTTGTCTGTGTACATGAAAGACAAGACATCTGAAGCCTCCACGTCCTTGGGCTTCGCCCAGGAGGACGTGAAATTTCTCAAGCACGTTTCAAGGGGAATCGACAAGATCTTTGAAGACAGCGACAAACTTTCAAGAGACGCTTGCATGTCGCTACTCAAGACGCTGGAACAGGCTGCTGTTCCTACGGAGAAGGCAAAACTGCGATGCCTGCGCCTGAATTTCGCTCATGGTTGTCATCAGGAAGAGGCTCAAGACGGGAGTGTGGAAGATGCAGCAGACAAGAACAACTTAAGTAGAGTCTTGAAGAGAGCATCTTGCAGCTCACTCACATTCTGTCTGCAGACTCTGTCTACTTCGGGATGTCTTGTGCATTTGTGGTCGCTGAGAGCAATCACGCACGGTTGGAAGAGATATGGGACTCTCTACAGACCACCATCGTCAAACTTTGCATTCATGAAGAGAGTCAGATCAGAAAGGTTGAAACAAGCTCTTCTCACTTTGTTCTGTCACTGATCATTTCATGCAGGCTGCGATCTCGATCTTCGAGAGATTCGTCGACAGCTTTCTGGAGAAGAGAGACCTCGCGAAAGCTTCGGACGACAAGCTTGAGAAGAGTATGCTGGGATCTCTTGCTGAGGTACATGATGATGATGCTGGTGCTGGTGCTGGTTGTGATGGTGATTGTGGTTGTGGAGATGATAATGAAAAGATTTTGGTTGTGATTTTGGTTGTGGTGGTTGTTTCTGACGACGATGACGATGATGACTCACGCGCGTTTGATGATTGTGTCTCACCATCGTGCTCAGATCTTCAATCAGTCGCCGAAAGAAGTGAAGATGGAGATCTTGAGGTGCATTTTCGAGATTCTCAAGAAGAGGGGAAAATCGATTAAGTCAAGCTGGTCCATTCTCATGCAAACCTTCACGAACATCTCCAAGTCCAACGACGTGGCGTTGGTAAGAGAAACAAATAGATTTCATTGATTCACTGGCACTGGCTCTGTCTCCTGGACCCTTTGAATCTTCTTCTACATCTTCTTTACTACGTGTTTTCCTTGCGTGCAACTATTCCATTCCTGTCTCTCCTTCGGTGCCTCTCTCGTTCTCCACGCAGCTTGTCAGACCTCAGCTGTTGCAGTGACTTCAGTACAGGTGAAAGAAGGAATCAAGTGCGTATCTCTGGTCTCGAGCGAGTTCTTGAGCGAGCTAGACGAGAAAGAGTTCTCCTCCTTCCTTCATCTTGCTATCGCGTTCGGCAGGCAGACCTTGGACTTGGAGACAAGGTAGATCAGAGCTTTCTGCCAATCCATTCCAAACTCGCACATGACCTTCAATCTCAGCCTTGCCGCAATCACTTCCCTTCGTGATTGTGCAGAATTCGTCACTGCAAAGTTAATCGCAGAGGAGGAAGAGCAGGAAGAAGAGAAAGAGTCGACGAGGATCGAGAAAGTCCAGTTGTGGTTGTCCATTGTCGACGCTCTCCTCAAGCTCGGGTCCGACAAGAGAGAAAATGTAAACCTCTGCTCTCCTCTCCGTCGCGACTTGCCGTGTAGATGTAGTCTTTCACTGTTCTACCTGTATTTTCTGTGTTCATTTGGGATGATATGATACCTTGTTGATGATATGATAGCTTGGCGATGATATGATACTCGTATTCTTGTGCATTCATACATGTTGGTTGATGGAACCTCTTTGCAACAGGTGAGGAACGAATCTGTTAAGGTCCTGCTGGATATGCTTCTCGAGGACGAGCGAGTCAAACAGCAGTTCCACGACAAGATGGGGATAGTGATACAATCGTTCATCTTCCCCTACATGGAGCAGATCGAACAAACAACCTTCGAAGCCGTTGCGGAGGGATCGAAATCGACCCAGCAGTGGCTGAGCACTTGGTTGACAGGTGAATTCATGTGGAGATTGATGGGAGCCTTCAGTTTCTCGTCCTCCAACCTCCCCATTTTCCTCTTCCTCCTTTTCCTGCTCCTCCTTTTCATGTTTCTCTCCTCAGCTTTCTCCCTACGTTCCTGTCTGACTTCACCTTGGCAGTCTTCGACGGAGCGTGCAAACTGATCCAGTTGCTCTTCACCCTGCACCTTGAACATCAGGGGACCTTGCCCGACGATGTTGATGAGACCTGGAAAACTTTCATCTCTCGCCTAGTGTTTGCGTTTGAGTGCAGAAGCGAGTTGATCATCCGGTCTGCTGTATGCTCTATCTCAATCATGGTCAAGAGTATGAGCAAGACCTTCCCAAGGTAAATCGCAACATTGACAACCGTTTGGATCTCATCCCAAGAATCAATGTTCATGGCTCGACGTCTGACGCAAACATGTCAGGAGCATGTGGGATTCTCTCTGGGAATGCTTCGAATCCCAGGTGAAGAAGTCTTGCGCTAAGAAGCTCCACAAGACGGGAGTTGTGTGGGAAATCACCGACGAAATGTTCGACCTCGTCGACGATGCCATCACTTTGTCCCCTCAGTTAGTCGGTCATGGTGAACTCACCTCCCCTCTATTCGCTCGGTCGCTGACGGGGTTCTCTCACTCAGAGACGATTGCCCGACTCATCCACATCCTCGGCGTGATCGTCTCGCAAGAGAAGGCGGAGGAAAAGGAGGTCGTGAGCCATTACAAGAGGATGGCGAAACTCCTGGGAGGAAGGGAGGTCATCGAGCAAGTGACCCTATGGCACGAGCTCGTCTCCTCCCTCCTCTGCTTGCTTCCCGGAGACGAGAGGTCGTATGAGTGGACTGTTAACCTCAACTACACGTTCGCTCAACGACCAGCAAGGTGAAGGCTGTTGCTCATGTACGTCAAGCATGACCGATCACAGGTCGAAGGAGGAGATCAGTGCCGCCAGCCAGCTGCTCGCTGAGCTGTTCTGCGACGAGGCTGCTGTCGTCGTGCAGACAAATCTGTTCGAGAGGATCGTAGTCACTTTCCTTGTCTGCGTCTGTTCCAGGTCCTCCAGCCAGGCTGCTGTCCCATGGAACGACATAGTCACGTCCCTAGAGAGGGTCCTCAAGGCAGGCATGCCGATCATTCAGACGGCCTCGGGCATTTCCGAGGAGGACAAGAGCCAAGTATGGCACAACATCGTAGACGGGTTCAGCACAGTCCTCACCACTCCAGCTGCGCATGCCAAGGACGCGCAAACTTTCGAGCTGGACGAGGTTGACGGGATGATGATGCGGATCGTCTCCTCCATCCTCGCGCCCCTTGCCAGCCGCATCGACATGCACGTTGACGTCCTCAGAATTTTCGACGCCATCCTGGAGGACAGCTGCAAGCAAGCTGCTCTCGAGCTCCCGCTCCGTGTCAAGAGAAGCGCCTTGAGCAGGCGGGCACTCCAGGTCGGCCTTTCCCACCTGCCTTTCCCACCTGCTCCCTTGGCTGACCCCCTGTTGTCAGGAGCTGATGACACTCGCAAGCTGGAGCCCAGCAGCTGGAGTTCAGGCTGACAAGGTTGACTTTGCGGCCAAGGTGAGCTGAGGGAGGAGGAGAGGAAAGAAGGCAGAAGGGGGGGGGTTACAGCATCGATAGAAGAGGAGGAGCGGGGAAGGAGCTGAAAAGGAGGAGGGGGAAGAGGAAGAGCCGAGCAGAGAAAGAGGAGTGGGGTGAACAGCAGAGCTGGGGAGAGGAGAGCTGGGGAGAGGAGAGGAGGTCACAGAGGAGCGGAGACGTTGACATGAGAGCAGATCGTCATTGAGCGCATTCGGACCGTCCTTGAGATGCATGCTAACTTGGGCTCCTCTGTCCCCGAGCCCCCCGACAAGTCTTGGCTGGAGCTCGCGATCTCCTCTATCAAGGTTACAACAGTTGCTGCTGTGTTGCTCGTCCTGACGTGTTCTTGTTTTCCTTCTTTCCCTGTATCCTCCATCCAATCCTGTACTCTTGTCGTTACCTCCCGCTTCTCCTCCTTCGACTTCCTCTCGTTTTGCCATCAGAGCTTGGAGAGTCTGCGACTCTCACCATCATGCTTCGATCTCCTCGTGGAAGAGCTTGAGGTGATAAGGAACCATCCTCCTCCTCCTCCTCCTCCTCCTCCTTTTCTCCTCCTCCTTCTCCTTCTCCTTCTCCTTCTCCTCCTCCTCCTCCTCCTCCTCCTCCTCCTCCTTCTCCTTCTCCTCCTCCTCCTCATCATCATCATCATCACCACCATCATGATCGTCATCATCTTTCTGCTCCTCCTCATTCTTCTCCTAATCCTCGCTCTCAATCTCGTTGCTCTCCTCGTCGCTGCTCTGATCCTTGTCTCCCCAACTTCTTCCTCTCCTTCTGCTACTCCTCCTCACGCTCCTGTAGCCCCCTAGGAGTTACGCCATGGACGAGCTCCCGGCAAGAACCGAAGAGGAGGAAAAGGCCCTGAGGAAGCGATCTAGTCGGCTGCACGATCGGAGCTCGCAGACCGGACACCTCCTCCTCCTCTACTCCACCCTGTGCAAGTGTATCCTTTCCTCCAACGTGCGTTGCTTCGCTTGCCTCTACTCTCCTTGACTTGGATCTGCAGAGAGAAATCAGGGCCATGGCCAAGACTCTGCTGGAGAAGGTGGGAGAGGAGATCGGTCTACATGCTCCCATGTGAACTTGAGATCGTCTCATCCCCTCTACTGCCTCCTCGCGATCCTCCTACTCTCCATCCTTCTCCTCCTTCTCTCCTCCTCCTCCTCCTCCTCCTCCTCCTCTCCCCTCCCCCCTTCCTCCTCCTCCTCGTCATCTCCCTATCCCCCCTTGGTCGTGATCAATGTTTTCATTGTTGTCTTGTACATATTAACAGATTGAACATGGGCTACTCGTTCCCCAGCACGAACACCTGAACGCACGTCATCCACCCAGCAAGTCACTCCCGCGACGGACCGGCTGATAATGAACCAGCGGGTCTTGAAGCTGGAAGAGGATGTGATGGAAGCCGAACGTAGCGATCACCCGCCATCTGCAGCAACTCACCAAGAACAGAGCATGTCCGAGAGAGCAGAGCACGTGTACCCTTTCAGAAGGAGAGGCAACCTTGACTCTCCGTATATCCTGCAGGCAACAAGTGACAACATGGAACAAGATCGAGTATGATCGAACATGGTCGACACGTTTTAAACTACCTGTGCATGTTCCACCTAACCGTGTCTTGACCGACAGGGACAGCGAGGAGAAGAATTCCATTCTTCTTCAGCACAGCCTTTCAGCATGTCAACAACAACAACGTCGAGATATGTCACACAAACCTTCATCCTCTTCATCGACTTGATGTCTGCGTCAGGATCAAGCTTGCATGCCGTCATCACCGTCGTCGAATTCTCTTCCTCGTCCTTACCAGGTCCCCATAACGACCAAGACCATCATGCTCAAAAGTCGATATGGCAAAGGCCACGTCAAACGTCTGCTGCGATTTCTGAAACATGAAATGTCATGTCATATCATATCATATCATATCACATCATATCACATCATATCATATCATATCATATCATATCATATCATGTCATGTCATGTCATGTCATGTCATGTCATGTCATGTCATGTCATGTCATGTCATGTCATGTCATGTCACACCATATCATATCATATCATATCATGTCATGTCATATCATATCATGTCATGTCATGTCATGTCATCATTTCATATCATATCATATCATATCATGTCATGTCATGTCATCATGTCATATCATGTCATGTCATGTCATATCATGTCATATCATATCATATCATGTCATGTCATGTCATATCATGTCATATCATATCATATCATATCATGTCATGTCATGTCATATCATGTCATATCATATCATATCATATCATATCATATCATGTCATATACATCTATCAAAATCGTATCACCATCACGTCGGATTCATATCAGTCATGTCTCTATCATCACATCCTTCTCCTTACTTCATACTCTTCCACCGTCAGACTTTGAAGCTTCGGATGATCGTAG